TATAAAAGCTGACCTAAAAGGTATTCTTAAAGCAGAAGTAGTAAAACGATTTCAAATTAATTCTTGGAAGTAAATTAAAAAAAAAATAACGTGGTGTTGATAAGGAATCGAACCAGAGTCCTTCAGATCGATAGTCCGACATCTTTACCAGTACACCACACCTCACTGAGGAGTTTAGCTAGCAAATATATCGATATATTCGATAGATACTGGTCAGTGTTTATTCATATGACCTTTACGAAAGTTAGTGAAGTGCCAGGTCAATATGTATAGGATATCGACCCATCTTTTTTTTTAATCCCTTCCCCTAAAATTGTTGGCAATTTTCCCAAACTTTCATGTAATCATAAAAATAATTTTTTTAAAACACATAAAAAAAGGGGGAACCCCCTTTTACAAGTTGGGTTTTATTTATATTTTTGATTTTTTTTTTTTTCAAAAAAAAAAAAAAGGCTAATTGGGTAATTTTGCAAAAAAAATAAATGGGGTTTTGTAATTGAATTTATTAAAAAAGAATGAATAAATTTTTGAAAGTATTTCTTCAAAAACTTTCAAAAATGTTAAACATTTTTTTCCCCCTGGAAAAAAACCCCTCTCACTTCCCCTTTTTTTGTTGAATTTTTGAAGTTCTTCGTGTATAATATTTAAATTTGTACAAAAATGGATCTTTTTTTTAAAATTTCACAAATTTTTCGCGAGTTTTTTTTAATTGAAAAAATAAAAAAATTTGAAAAAGGGAATAAAATTTTAAAAATTTTTTTAAACAAAAAATCAACAATTAAAATTTTTTTAACATTTTTAATGGCAAATGTCCAACCCTTCCAAAGATATGGGGGAAGGGGGGGGGGGGGGCAAATGTCCGCCACTGCAAAAAGGGAGCAAACTCCGATTGATCCTGAGGGTGGGAATGTAACCAGGGACTTTGCTATGAACTGTAGGTAGCTGCGGTTTCCTAGGCAAAGCGTATATCAAATGGACGTTATTTGAATCACAAATGAAACGGACATATTTTTGTTATATTTTTTCGATATGGGGGTTTGGTACTATGAATATTTTATGGATTAGATGATTTAGAATCGTGATATGTATGCGGTGATAACTGTTAAAGTTTCATAGAAATGAACTTAAAGCACCCATTTTTGTTATATTGTGAAATTAATAAAAACATATAGAAGAATCTGCTGACAAGTTAATCTTATAGTGAAAATTGCTGACCACTTATATCATTTGAACTTATAGAGAAAACTTATGTTATAAATTTAGTGCGTATTTCATTTTCTATTTACATTCATTTGTTAAAATAATTATGTTCTTCACTGCAGTGAAACATATTTTCCGTACTTTCAATTGTGCCTTTTTCTAGATTCAGCCGATATACAAACTTTAAGGGCAAAAAGAGAAATAAGTATAAAATAATACCGTAACTCATGAAATATTTATTTTCGTACCACTCGAAAAAAATTAATTCTGTATTTATAGAAAAAAAAAACTTGATTATATACTCTATTTCTTGCATATGAGACAGGATTATCTACTGTTAACACCGGTGCTAGAAATAAACCTTTATCACATAAACCGCGGCGCAGGAGTGTAATAAAGCCATTTATCACACACCCGTGCCGATTTTGCGACTCCGTAAAAATGGTATTGCACGGCCGTGCATATATTTTGACGTGACGTCATTAGCGTTATACAAACATAGTGTAAAGACGCGCTAAATGTTAGCGTTAAACTATAGGCGCGTCAATGAAAAATTACTTTTATTTCACTTTAAACGGTCTTTATTTTGGGTTTGTGATAAATAGAATATTAAATTCGTGTAAGTTCATTACTGAATTTATTGCACTCGTTGAATAAAATAATATTATGCTTGGCAAAGGCTCGCATAATATAATTTTATTCAACTCGTGCAATAAATTCAGTATTGAACTTACACTCATTCAATATCCTCTATTTAATAAAAACGATATTACACAAGTGTAATAACACTTTGACGTGACGTCAATTGCGTTATATATAAACATAGCGTTAAAGCGCTAATGTTAGCGTTACACTATAGAAGCGTCATTGAAAAATTACTCATTTTAACAGTTTACTGTTCTTATTTTATATATGTGATAAATAGTAAGAGGGTATTTTTTCGTTTGCGTGAAATATGGAATATATTTTCAAGAAACATGATAAAATGCCACACATTTTCACGAGCCGGTACGGCGAGTGAAAATATGTGGCATTTTATCATGTTGAGTGAAAATATATACAATATTTCACGAAAAACGAAAAAATAACCTTTTTATTTAATTTCATTATCAAAGAAATTGGTAACGAACCCCCTTGTTTGCTACCATGCAACTGCAATTGTACAGCGCGCAGTAATTTATGCGTATAAGCACGCGCTGTTTGGCGCTACATTGTGACGTCATGTAAACAACTCTTTAAACGTCTGTACAGCGTTAATTACTGAATTAAAGATATTGGTGTTCGGATTAATTTTCTTAGTTAGACCATTTTCTATCATGCTAGATAGTTTTTAAAACAAAATTCAAGAAAAGTTGTTTGTATTTATCAGATTTTTCAAACATAACGGCGAAAGAAGTCCCATAAAATAAATATGAGTTTTGACTCCGCCCACTTTCATATTTATATTTCATATTCATTTTTAAAAAATATGAAATATATTTGACTGATATAGCACCATATTTCATGGGTAAAATTAAATAAAGCACCATATTTCATGGGTAAAATTAAATAAAATATTATATTCGTGTAGATTCAATACAAGTCGCATGTTTTAAATGACGTCATTCACATCCCTTTTAATGAATCAATTGCGTTCTAAAGATGACGTCATTTTGCAGTTATGAATGGAGTTGTAAATTTATACATAAAAGAAGTGCTAAATGATGATATCATTTATCATAATTTCTTTTCAAAAATATTTTTAATTTATAATATGCAAGAAAAAGAATCAAACACCGGCTGCCGGTACAGACAGGAATGTCTAGCTCTCGGGTAACTGTTTAGCGGAAACTCGACAGAGCCTCAATACCGCCGTAAACAGTTACCCTCGAGGTAGATATTCCGGTATGTTCCGGCAGCCGGTTTAAGATTCTTATAATACTACTGACCAATTAGATTTTTTTGCATCTTTTATATGTCAACATGACATCATTTTCGTCAAATTTTTCGACTTATTTTTTAAAGTTTCACACTGTTTATTACATTTTCCATGTATTTTTTATAAGTATTTCCCCCTATCTTTTGATATAAAATGTTACTTTTTATTTTTTTTTGAATTTATTTAGACGTTTTCAGTATACAAAAAAGAAGAAGAGACAACAACTAAAAAAAGAAAGAAAGAAAGAAAAGCAAAAGAAGAAAAATATCTTTTGACAAAAGAAAAATTATATTCCTATATTCTATACCATCCGCTTATTCGTCAGCAGTTAATAATTGTCCACTGAAAGGCAATTGTTGACAATGCGATAAAGCGATGGCGACGATACAATAGCGCGACGACGACAGTGTGATAACGCGATGACGACTATGCGATAGTGCAATGACGACAATGCGATAGTGCGATGGCGACAGTACGAAAGTGCAGTGGCGACATCGCCATCGCATTATCGCACTGTCGTCATCGCATTATAGCACTAGTACTGTCGCCACCACATTATTGCATTGTCACCATCGCACTATCGCATTATCGTACTGTCCTAATCGCATTATCGCAATGTCGCCATCGCACTATTGCATTGTCGTCATCGCACTGTCCTATTGTCGTCATCGCACTATCGCATTGTGGCCCTCTGGATTATAAAATAATACCACGATGGCCCTAATGGTATGGTATTCCGTATCCGACATTGTACATCGGTCCAGCAATTAAGCTGAAATCTAGGTATCTCTAATTATTGTGTCCGCACATCTGTCTTTATGCTGTTGTGTTTTTGTTTCACTTTTGTAAAAGACTATTACTAACAAACTATCATCATCTTTATAAAATGCACATATTTAAAAATAAGTTTTTGGAATTTAATTTGTATTTTTTAAAATGCAAAATCATGATTGTTTTACAATATAGAATTTTTGGCGGGGCAGAAAGCCGCAAAGATATGATCAAGGTTTCGGAGACTCTTCAGGTTCTCTGGTGACCTTCAATGTATACGGATATACCTTAGCAGAACTAAAAACCTTTCTTAAGTAAGCTAGATAGCAGTCTCTATGAACGAAAACAACGCTTCTTATTATCTAATAGGAAAGAAAATTACTGTCAATTTTCTTGCTATTATTTTGGTCATACCATACCAACACAATTTCTCTGAATTCAAATTTCACAAGCATTTTTTTTTTACTTGGGGACCATATGCCGCTTTTCATAGAAAGGCACTTTTGTATCACATTGAAGTTTCCATGATAACCGCCATATGAACACATATGCAGATGTTTCAAAATTGTACCAGTTCATGTTAAATGTTGAATTCTGCTTAAGCCGGTGCTAAGGGAAGGACGGTAGTTTGCACTTGACAGTACCGTCTATGAACAGGCTCAATCACACCGAGCCTGCAACATTTTCAATTTTGCCGTGTTGGTTTTTCTTTGGGGATTCTTATTTTCTCTTTTTCAGGATTCTTATTTTCTCTTTTTTCACTGAAGACAAGGGTAAAAGATATTAACTTTCATTTGATACATTTCATTTCATATTAGTTTTAATCCAAACAAAACCAGGCAGATCTAGTCCATGCATGAATGAAATATTACCTTTGCATAAAATTGTATTTGCTTTTCGTGTAACACAATTTAGGCTGAATATTTTCCTTTTGGAAGTCAGTATAAATCTAAAATGACTTGATTACTTATATGCATGATGAATTTAACAAAAATATATTCTCACACTGGTTGTAATTGAAGTCGAATAAAACAATTTAGAAGTAGTATGAAATGTATATATGGTAAAGAACTTAGGATAATATTAAAAGATAATCATATACTTTTTTCAGAGAATGGTGAACATATGAAAGCGGTTGCTTGTGATACGACTCCTCCAACCCGTAAGTATACACAGGCATAGCTAAACATTGAAAACAACAATAGCGAAAACAACAACAACACGTCATATGAGCCTTCCAAATAGGATTCATTTTTGTATTTTCTGATCGCAAGATCAGTAAATACATAGCTAACATCCACGGTCTAACACAAATTTTCCTAACAGGCCTAACAACGCAAAGTAGTTCTCACTCAGAACTGCTTAAAAACCAGCAATTTAAAATAAAGAATAATTTTTAATGTATGCATTTAACGAATTACAGTGCATTAAAAGTTTAGAGTAATCAATAGAAATATGAGGTTACAATCACAAATTTCGCGGATGAATATCTTTTTTACCCAATGAAAAATGTTCGGCTATTTCCGTAAAGCTTAATCAATGAAAATGCTATTTTTAGCTATGTCGATTACCGAATACTCCAGAGCGTAGTACACATAAATCTGACTGTCTGTCGAGTAGTGGAATATATACATGTCGTACTGTTTTGGGGAGAAGATTTTCGCTAAATTATTTTCATCAGTGTTAAACAACAGGTTTATAGTGAAGAAAATACCTCGAAATTAGTAAGGATTACAAACACGGAATTGAAATTCTCAATTTAGAATTACAATGTATTTGTTATTATTCAAGCTACATATGTATTACTTCACCGTGGTGCAGAGGTAGCGCGCTCGTTTAGGGTGTGAGAGACCCAAGGTTCAAATCCTAGTCGAGACAACTTTTTTTTTTAAGTGTCTTTTTTTAAGGAAGTAGCCACGATATGCAAGGATAAAGTATGGCTGTCATAAAAAATGAAAATGATTTTTTGATGCAACTCTAGTCATGCAAAATTCCATATGTATCAATCTCAAACTGTTATAGACGCAGTCGCTGCGTAAGATTAATTATAGTATATAAAAATAAACTTATATAGGAAAATACATACAGATAGTCAGTATGATTTAGATTGCAAAGATCAGAAAATACCACAGAGGTTGCAGCCCTTTGATTTGTTAATGTGGCGGCATGGCCAAGTAGTTAACGTGTCGAGGTATTCATATAAGGATTGCCGGCCTCATATGTTCAAAACCCTTTAGTATTTAGCCGTTATTTCAATGAGTAAAACACTTGCTTAGTACTCGTTGGTTAAAGTAACGGATTTGAGAGTGTTTCAATACACAATCGAACTATAATTCATTCGTTTTACTTAACAAGATTCATAATTCTGTGACAAATCTAGATTAAATGTTTTTCCAATAATCAGTTATTTACCATTTACTTGCAATTTTAATTTATTTTATTTACCACATGAAGGCGTGAAATTTTGAAATATCAATGCCGGGGAAACATAAAGATCCGGCTGTTTGTTTACACACGTAAAACAAAAAATAAACAGATTTACAGGGCAGAACTGAATATTTGATGAGTTTTCATTGGTTATTTTAAACTTACGAAATGAAATCTGAGAATCTCATTGGTCATTATAAAAAATGTAAAGGATAGTTCTTCTTATTCTAAGGTAGTTCTAATAGTTTTTGCGATTATAAAATAAAATGTAAAGGATAGTTTTAAAAGAAAATGTACAGGATAGTTCTGTAACTTTCTAGTTAAATTGCTCAGCTATTTACGTTCTGTTTAATAATATTTCTTGAATTCAGATCTCATTACACTTTATAGTGAACACTTTATTTTAAGCAAGAACAGAGTTAATTATACACACGATCTGATCATGAGTTTTAAGTTTTGTCCAAAATAACATAACGAGAACAATATCAGCTCTTATCAGGTACTCTTAGTTTATGAAGTTCAATACGAGTCTTATATATTATATAATTATTGATGTTTTCAAATGATATACTGTTCATAATTTTTTATATATTTATGCATATTAATCAAGTCTTTATAAAAACTAATTTCCTTACCGACTGCGCAGATATTGATGTTAGAAATTGACAAACCACGAAAGGTTTATTTAGAAATACATACATCTTTAAGTGTTCCATTTATCAAAATAAATAACCTCACAAGAAATGAATACTCCATTGTTATGCAAGCTATGCTAATATTTCTATATGAGTTTGCATGGAAAACTAAGAACTAACATATGAAAGTTAACAAGTTTTACTTCGGCCGAGTATCTTTTTATAAAGATACTTATTGTTTGTATATAAATATATTTTCCATTTACCTCTCTGGCGTGGGTTCGATCCCCGGGAGGTGCTTTGGTAGTTTAGCGCGGAGGAAGGTAGTCTAGTACTGGTGTAACTCTCCAGGAACGATGGTTAGGAAACTACCCGCCTATGTGACGGAAATATTGTTGGAAAAGGGCGTAAAATGAAACAAACAAACAAACAAACAAACAAAATATAAATATCTTTCCTCTTAAATACCTCCAAAGAATACAATGGTAAACAAAAAGAAATATCCGGATCATAATAATGAAAATTTACTCATCTATAATAAATACAATGTATTGCATATCATAATTATAAATATTACAACTTTATAGTTTTTAGTCAGTTGTTAATTTTAAGTTAAAACATGCAAAACTGAGGTTGTTTTCATTGACGTCGTCTGTTTTTCGTTTACTGCCTCCAGCAATCGGAGGACTTTGCTGATGGACTTTCTATCACAAAGACCCGTGCTACGTCTTGGTATAAATACAGTTAAAAAATTAAAAACTGTTATACTAGATGAATCGCGTTTTATCAGGTCAGTATTTCATATGGTAGTGCCTAGGAACAGAGCTGCATCAGTACTAAGGGTGTAGTACTTAAGTACCAGTACCAGTACTTGGCAAATTATGCAGTACCATTACCAGTACCAGTACTAGATTTTAGCTCGGTACTGCAGTACCAGTACTTTTTTTGGTGAAGTAATTAAGTATCAGTACCATTACTTTTATATATTCATCAAAGTTTGAATAAATACAGTGTCAAACAAATAATTGCAAATATTATTCAGCAAAGAAATAAAATCATAATTTACTTTAAAGCTGCATGCCTCCAGATGACCCAAAATATTTCAAGAAAATTAAACTTGGAAAAAAATTACTAAAACTTTGAGAAAAGTAAACAAATTAAAGATTCAAGTGATAATTTATATCTCATGTGCAATTAATGACTGTATTTTGTAGTATTTATCACCATATTTCTATTTCTATTTCTTTACAACATATATTCATGTCATATCTAATTGTTTAGTAACCAGTCAACTGTATAAATACAATGCAAACATCTTTCATTTAAAACACAACAGTCTTTTGTTGCCTTTCACACCTTCACACCTCTGTTCAATTTATACCAAAGTAAATAACAACTTTTTATGGTGCTAACAATATCACTTTTTTCACTTGAAATGGGATTTTTTAGAATAGAAGAAATTAATTAGTGTTTATTTTGCTCTTTTACTAGTAAATACAAAGTAATAGAAGATTTTAATAAGGATATTTTAGGGTAAAGAGTTATTGAGTCTGTTTATCTTAATTTAATTTTTACTTAAAGTCTTTGGTGCTTTTTATGATGAATACTATGTTAACATTTGAAGGAATATTGCAACAAATTATATTTAGATTTGATAACTTACTTTTACACAAAAATGAAATATAGTTAATGTAATTTACAGCTTTATTTTATGAGAAAAATTGATGTTATTTTTAATTTTTATCAAAACCAAAAGTACTGGGTAATGCAGTAGCAGTACCACTTTTTAAGACAGTAATGCAGTACCAGTACCAGTAGTAGCAAAATTTTGTAAGAGTAATTTAGTATCAGTACCAGTACTTGCAAAATCGCTGCAGTACGTACTGCAGTACCAATACCAGTAATGCAGCTCTACCTAGGAAGTTTTAAATAAAATATGCTATAAAAATAGCTCGTGTTGTGCAAAATGTTTACCTTACATTCCTATAGAAGAGCCAAAGGTGGGGTAGCAATAGTAACCAAAAGTTTATCTTGCTTTATTTATGAGGGTTCTTCAGTTTGTGAGAAAATTGTAGCTATTAAAACATGGGTTAGAAGGCAATTTCATCAAAATGAATACTTCGCTAAAGTTCTTTGCACTTAAAATTGTTCGAATCTAATAATCAATCAGTCTTATCATATAGAGGAGGTGTATAGCTATTATGCAGCAGGATATGCCATTGTATAGTGCTCAATAACGGTTACAAGCAACTTATGATGTAGGCAGTCATTACTCTAAAAAAATCAGCTTTACTTACACTTCTATAACTTACAGAAGGACCATGCCACGAGTCGCTCACTGTGAAAACAGGGAGAGCTTGTTATTATGGCTCGAAAAACACATTCGCAAGCATATCTTGTTCTTCTGGATATACCTTTACTCCAGGATCTGTTAGTTGCCCTAAACAAATATGGATACCTTCATCAGCAGCAGAGTGTTCACCAAAAGGTAGCAAATTGTTTCATAATATTTGAAAAATATAACCTATGTTGTAGCAATCTATAAGGTGATTGTAACCAAACGTTTGCGGAAAATGATGAAGCTAAACCGACTTTATACATGAAATAGAGAGAAATAAAGAATCCCCAAAGAACGCATAAAGCAACAAAATTGAAAATGTTGCAGGCTTGGTTTGATTGAGCATGTTCATGGACGGACATCTGACCAGTTTATCAGTTTAACATAGCATAAATTTTAAAAGCAGATCATTTGTCTTTCAATGTGTTCTACATATAAATTAATAAATTTTTGTTCCTATGCATAACGTAACGGGATATATTTCAAACCAAATGAATGATAAGCATTACTTTGATTGAAACATATATTGAACCGGTGAATTTAACACGAAGTCTTAAGTCTGCTTCCGAGGGATCACTTTGTTTCCAGATTTTTATACTTCACAACAGCAGGTGTCAAGTGCTGTGTGGCAGCCGTAAAAAGTTGCCCCGTACTTAACTTCAGTGTTGTTATATTTTTCTGGTCTTTAGGGATCATTTATGCCAGCACTATTAAGTGTTGAGAATTGAGTACCGCTCAAGCCGGTGCTAGGGGGCATGAGGGACATTGCACTTATACATTATCCCTCATGTACAGATTCAATCAAACCGAGTCTGCAATGATTATGTTATTTTGTTGTGATTAATGCTTCCGAAGGATCACTTTGTTTCCATATTTTTTAGTCTCATAGCTTACACTGGTCTTCAGTTCATATTGGATTTATTAACGTTTGTATCAGTTATATTTGACCATGTTATTAGTTAGTATTTCTCTGATTCTCATATTTTATCCAGGATTTATAGAAATTTGAAATTACAATTATAACTTAAATTATCGATTCAGTTACAACAACAACAACACCAAATACAACAATAATAATGATAAAAACAACAACAACAACAGTGTTGTCCACAATGTCATCCACTTCGAAGCTATATCCATCTTATAGTTCCTTGTTTTCTACTGTACATGATTCAGGTAAATGATATTTATGTAGGTTTCTCACTTTTCGTATAAAGAATGAAATCTGTATAATAATATGGTGTTGATACTCAGCTGCTATAGAACAAGTGTTTCTGTTGCCTACCATCAAGGTATATTTATATTTTCAGTCTGCTTTTAATTGATACTCTTGCATTATTTAAACGATTTCCACCTACATAGTGAGTTTTGAAAGTGCTCTCATAACATATCTTTGAATAGTTTGGAAGTATGAATAATGCATGAAATCTGTAATAACATATTAAATTATCAAGTTTGCTGTATTTTATTGTTTTATGTTTATCTGTTGATGTTCTATAACCAGCATCATAGTGTACACTTCGATTAGTTTTTTGATAGGCATGACAGAGATTGAAATATGTTTTGTGACATCAACTCACGTTAACAAATAGCATCACTTAGGCAGCCAATGAGTTCAAAATAATTTGAATACATTTCAATAAAGTTAAAGTTTTCTGTATTTATTACGTCTGTACTGTTTTGATATCACTGATAACATATTTAAGTACACTTCAATTCAAATTTCATTACAGCCTCGTTTCATTCAACATCGACTTCAGCAACCTCGTCTACTCATAAGGTGTTGCCGTCTGAGAGTAACTTTGTGTCAACGTACTCAACGGTCACAAGTTCGGGTATGTAATATTAACATGTATTTTTATTCAAATAACAACTATTAAATATAAACCCAAATGTCACGATATATATATACATTTTTGTATTTGTCAATGTTATATTTTGTTGTTTTTAAATTGTAACGATTTAGTAAAATCCACGGCTTGAACATACAGCGGTAAAAGCCAAACGGTTAGAGGTCAACGAGCATAACCACTCGGTCACGGGCGCGAAACCATGTGTTTAGTTGGGAAAATACTTTTTATAGTAACAATATATAAAATACATGAATTCCTATTCCATCTTTACATCAAAATCGCATAAAACACACATGTTGTGTGAGAAAAAAAGATATGCATAAAAGTTAATCAGTAGTAACGTTCACTATAAGTTTCCAATACATAAAATGAATTGTATACCAAATTTCATGAATTGTCATGACTGACTGTCTCCAGACTTTTGGCGGGGACTGTTACCCTTTTTAAAGTCGTAATTAAATTGTTGTTCGACACGAGGTTTTCATATCCATAACAACGGATTTTCTGATGGTATTGATACTCCCATTATGTAAGATAAATACATGTACGTAAACGAATAAGAAATTATGCTACAGAGCATGATTTATTTTCAGCTAGCTTTAATATCCGTGACTAAGTGATTTAGATCGGTGACCACATGCCCCTACTACCGCCGTGGGTTCGAATCCAGTCAGTTCATGTGAGGAAGCTATCCAGCTAGCTTACGGAATGTAGGGTGGTTCTACTCAAGTGCCCGTTCGTGCCTGATTAATACAGTTCACCAGTAAAGCTAGAAAGTCCCCGTACAATATCTACTGTCTTGGTGTAACGTAAATATATATATGGGAAGAAGTGATCCCTCGGAATCATTCAAAACAGCAAAAACACATGAAAACTACAGACTCGGTTCAGTTGAGTCTATACGTGAGGGATAATGAAAATGTGCATCATTCCTGACGTCCCCTAGCACCTGCTTGGAGCGACACTTAAAAGTGCTTGAATCAATGATCCCGAAGGACCAGAAAAATATTACAACACTGAAGTTTACACATAAATACATAGAGGTCAAAGTTCATATAAAAGTAGGAAGATGTGTATAGGGACAATTTAGTCATTGTTTATTGAAGGATTGTAACATAAATGGTCATTGTCATGACTTTGGCTGTGACACATGTAATTTAGGTCAATACAATGTATATGCAAGGCCAAGGTCACTAAAGATGATAAAATATCAAAATTTGGAATCTCCTACATGCATGGAATGATTTTTATAATACTTTATAGAAATGTTCACCGCTATGTGACGTATTGCTCAATGCATGATTCAGGTCTCCAGGTCGTCAAAGGACAATGTCAAACTTAGAGCTAATTGAAAAACGCACGTCCGGAGCAAAACTTCTACATCCATTAGAAGATTTTATTATAACAAAGTATCATCATTGTGAGGCAGAGTGTCGCGTGCAAAATTCAGATTCTGCGACCAAGGACAATGTCACACATAGAGTGCAAAGTTTAGATAAAAATATGAAGATGTGTATATGGATCATTTAGTGATCATTTTATTGATAGATTGTAACACGAATGGTAACTATCATGACTCTGTCTGTGTACAAGGTCACTAGAAGTGATAAGATATCCAGATATTATCCAGAGCATATTTCATACATGCATGGGAGAATATTAATGTTACTTCAAGGAATTGTTTACCTTAATGAGACGTTGTGCCCTGCGCATGAACCAGGTCTCCAGGTCAAATGACACGGTGACACTTATCTCTTTGAAAAGCGTTGGTCAGGAGCAAATCGTCTACATTCATGGAGGGATTCTTATATAACTTGGAAAAATATTTTATCATTGTAAGCCTGAGTGGCGCGCATAAAATTCAGATTCCTGAAGCAAAGGTCAAGGTCACACAAATAGGTTAAATTTCAGATGAACATACGAAATTATGTAAAGGGACAAACTTGCATGCCACACTTTTAATCGCCCACATCTTTACCTAAATCTTCGTGACGAGCGTATTACGTGATAATGTCACCCTTGTTCTATTTTCAGTAAAAGTGACCTTGGCCTTGACAGGAGAGGGCGGGGATGGGGAGGGCGAAAGCACTTCTAATCGAAGCCTTCACATAAGCTTGCCACACATTAAATTTAATTGAAATCCCTCATTCCAATCTAGTTATCCACAGGAAATCAAGTTTCATTGAAATATCTTCTAATTTCTTATTCTAGTGATGATTACTTTTTTTTTAGTCACAGTGACCTTGATCCTAGGATGCCAAAAAAGCAACCACAAGGAAGGTCGTTACATAAGCGTTTGATTAAGATAAGATAATCTAAACTTAAATTATTTCCCGGAAAGCAACATGTTTGATGCTCGTCCGGCACCCGCCCGCCTTACACCAATGTAAAAACCAGGTTTTTCAATTGCAAAATTTCGGTTAAAAAGCGTTGGCAAAAATACATTTGATTTTGAAATCTAATGCTATTTCATAATAAGCGATAATCTCAATATTCATAATTGACGCATTGGTTTGTTACATTTTGACTTAACAAATTATTGTCGTATGTTGTAGAAACACCGTATTTGACGACATATAAAACGATGTCAAAAACAAAAATGGAAACATCAAGCTCCTATTTTCAAACTAAACCATCTACATCCTCTTCAAGACAGGCTGTAATAAGTTCAAGTATAATAACAGCTTCTCCGACCATGGGTACAATTTTGTAAATTTTCTAAAATTCTGACATGGAATTGTTTAAACTTGACCATGTTGACAGAAGTTTATATTCATTAGAAATCAAGCACCATTTATGGCGGCTTTCCCTGTCAGATTTGTCTAAAGATTGCATAATTTTTTTAAAATATAAATGTAATATTTTGACACAATTAAGCAAAATATTCTCCATAAAAGTTTCAATTCAGTTTTTGTCGTTGTCGCAGTTAATACAAATTAAGTACATCGAATATTATTCAAATTCGCGGACAGGTTATTAAATAATGATCCTTTGATGCTTAAAAAAATTTTTGATCAATTAATAAAAATTATTTAGTAAGGATTCTTTTCTATACAGTATTTCATAGTTGTTATTAAAAGAAAAAAAATATTCCTGACATGTATTACAAGGTTTTGTTTATTAAGCAAACATTAAATATCAAATGATTAACAAATGGCTGTGTAAATATTGTCTCGATTAAACATGTTAATTGTGAGTGCAATATCTAATATCTATTAATTACATTTTTGAATATTATCGACTCCCTCGTTTCCTAAAAATCTTAATGTGTAATTATTGTTACAGTACCATCAGATCCTGCGGCATCAGAGCAAGCAAAAGACTCAGGTATTTACATATCTTTGAAAATCAGAGCATTAAAACCAATCGTTGATTTGTTTTACTAGATCTTATTCATACCGAGGAACATAGTTTTTTAAAGCATGAACCGCAGATAGTAAACGCTTAATTTCAAGAACTTATAAAGCACTGTGTACAATCTATTTATAGTAAAATTAACTAATGCATACAAATGCTACTATATATCGTTGTTATTAATGACTACAAAATGCATATGAAACTACATTTTTTTTTAATTTTCGGTAAACTTGGACTTTTGTCGGTCATCGGGTGTCAGATAATACTTAATGGATGAATCAAAATATAATGACACTTACTATGAAGTTACAATCACTGCATCGGTACATCATTTACGAAATTAGCGTTACCTCATAAAACGTGTCTCTATTACCTGTTATCTGCTTAATTAAGAATGATAAAACTCGAAGTTGAACAAATGTACAAATGTTATAAAAAACAATAGCGTAATAAATGCGTTATTGTAATTATTAATAACGACGAAGCTCAATATTCGCCCATATGGATAGTCAGGTTGCCATTCATATATATATTTCTGAAGTGAGCACTTTCCTTGAAATATCTTAGTGTCAATTTTATGTTTAGAATTCTATATACGTATGTACTATAAGTGGTCACTATATGAATATATAGTGTCATAAAAAACTGGCAGTTTTTAAAAGAGACGATTCACTTTACTTGACCTGTAATAAGCAATGCCACTTCTCATACATAGTTCATATATTCTTTTATTCAAAATGGACATATTCAGTTGAATTTCATAGATTTCAATAAATTTATGTGATTAAAATATTTTATTTAAGGATGACCATAGTATATCTTTAAACTTTACAAGATGTTCATATATAAACTTCACGTATTTACAAGTTACAAAAATCTCAAGTAAGGCAAGGGTATTTCATTCATTTTTTTCTAAATTATTTTTCAGATATAATCTCTGCATACATCATTACTCCAGTGGTAGTTTGTGTTCTTGCACTAGTATTAGGCGTTGCTTTCTTATGGTGGAGGTCTGTATCATTTTAACCAATCCATCAATCATATACGAGAATTCATATAATGATTCATCAAGCCATCCATAATATGAGCCGCGTCATGACAAAACCAACATAATGGGTTTGCGATCAGCATGAATCCAGACCAGCCTGCTAATTCGGTAGTCTGATCAGGATCCGTGCTGTTTGCTATCAGTTTCTCTACATGTTACAGGGTTTGTGAGCGAACAGCATGGATCCTGATCAGACTGCGCGGATGCGCAGGCTGGTCTGGATCCATGCTGGTCGCAAACCCATTATGTTGGTCTTGTCATGACGCGGCTCATATATTTCTTTTAATTCTTAAATCAATCGATATAGAAGAACTGCTTAAGGTAGAACGCGACCTTTTGCGAACTTTCGAGTAGCGTCTTGAAAATTGGCATGCAAAAAATTGACCATATTTCTGATTGGATTTTGTTGATTTTATTTCAATAGTTTCAGCCAATTTTTAAACACATGACGTCAAAGTTGACCATCAAAGCCCGTTTTTGAACATGATGTCGCTGCGTATCCTTGGCAACTGTTACGGGTATTTCATCGCCATTGGCGGACAAAATACCTTAAATCCTACAGCATTCGACGGATTTTTTTTCCCTTTAAGCAGATATAAAATTTATTGTTTTACGCCGAAAATTGTTTGAGTAATGGAAAGAAAATTGTTAATTTTGTGTAAAATTTGACGTTCAGTTTAGCCGCAATTTTCGGCTTTAAAGCGGCTTATTAAAAAATTCCTGAAATACATTTTTGATTTTTTTCTTTAAACGTCCTTTAAAATGTATACTTAGTCAAAATATCAAAAAAAATAGGGGTCCACTTAAATTACATAATGAATTTTAATACAAGTAAGTGAAATGAAAGTAACTCAAAACATGCGTGGATTAATTTTAGATATCTCTTATATATTGTATACAAAGGAAACTTTATGGAATCGTAAGCTTAATTATAATTCTTGATTTACAGACGAAGGACTCGTAAGCCTGCAGCTTCATTTGAAACACGTGGACCTGGCTCATTAATAGCAAACCAAATTTACGGAGCGAATGGCATAGATAGAAATTGTTCTTTAATAAATGTGCGTCAATCAAGAGTGCATGAGTACGCAGAAATACCTTTAGACATAATGAATTCAGATGGAACCAAAGGAGATAATTATGAAACAATTGATATTCTACCCGAAGACAAAGCTGGCGTGAAGAAATCGTATGATAACTTAAAACTATCAGAGACAGAGTTTATTGATACAAACTACTCTCATATCGGTTTAAACAATACGCAAAATAATAATCATGCTGATAATACATACTCTCATACACATTTGGAGAATGTGACACAGAAACCTGAAATAACCGTTGGTGGTGATGATACGTACAACAAGTTAAACACTACAACATTAACTAACAGTAGGGGTAAACATATAGAAGACACAGACACGGAATACAACCATGCTCAAGCTGGAGGGCAGGACCCTGAAATCGAAGCTGATAATTATTCTCATCTGAACACAAATATACAAACACCAGGAATGTCTACGACCAAAATGTCACACCAACAAAATGAAGATAATATAAAGAATAGAAACTTTCGACAGCTATCTGCTAAGGATCTTCAATCAAATACAGGCTATGAATTCGCGAAAGATTTTGATAATAGTGAAATAAAAATGCCCAAACAGGATGATGCAAGAAAAAACAAGAATAGCAACAATTACGCTCAAGACCTTAAATCAAATACAGGCTATGAGTTCGCGAAAGATTTTGATTATCTGCAAAATAGAAGTGAAGCACCCGAGTACGCAAAGGTTACAAAAAACAAACCTGATGTGAGCAACGCTGATAATGCAGGTAAAGGTTCCGAAACATCTGTCGGTACAAAACATAACTATTTTCTTTTAGAACCAGAGCAAAATCAAGCACCAACTACTGCATTATTTAATGTGGTTGAAGACGTGTCCACGGAGACTGACGAAATGCCCGAGGCAGAAACGGGGCATGAATATTTCACATTAGAAAAACAAGATATGTTATCGATTCACGGTGGGAAATACGTCATATGATATTCAATGTTCCTAATATGCACACATGTAGATAAAAATTTAGACTTTATTTCGCCCAGAAAAAATCAGATATCATATATAATTAAGAATATATATGCCATTCTATAGTGCATTTTGGAAGGCAACAAGAGGCTTTCAAAATGGAAATGCGGAATGTTATAATTATCAGCGAATGTACAAAAAAAAAGATTTTAAGTGGTGATATATTGTAATATTGTGATGATCAAATAGTTATGAAACAATTAAATTACCTAAGATGTTCAATGTCATACACACATGACTGACTTAAAAGTGCCTATTGTCATAGATAGAGGATGAATATTCCTATTTTAATGGGTGATTCTTAATGTGATTCTCATGGTAGTAACATAACCTTTCACATCTTTAGTTTAATTGAAGATTGTTTTTACTATATAAATACTGTCTGAATATAACAATTATTTCTAGATTAGATTGTGCCATTTGTTAGTCTGCTAATTACTTCTTATCATATGCGAAAACATAAATCGTAATGCTTTTATTTCTATCATAATCATAAGTAATATCTGCTTGCGTTTAATATAAAACCCAATAATATTTTCAGAACATTTGACCATTCTATTTGTTGTTAATTTTTAATGTTTAATAAAAAAATCTAAAGTTTATTGCTTTTGAATCAATTGGTTTCGTCGGCTGTCAACCTCTTCCTGACCAAGTACTTAGGGAAAGAAAATCTGTTGCAAAGAAAATTGACGATGTATAAACACCGGTTAAAGGAAAGGGATTTTGAAAAAGACAACACAGCAGAAATAAGTCTATTGGATGTTTTCAAATAATTTAGAAATGTTTAGCAAACTCCTTACAGTGATAACCTCCCTTGGCAGATGATAATCACTGCCTTCACAGTCGTCACATGATGATGCAATTCACATAACGTAACATTGAAATTAAAATGTAAATATCGACCGTTACATAGAAAATCTAACGTAATTTTTCTTTTCTGTTTTATTTTAATCTTTCGTACTTGTGTTAAAGTGTAGCAACAGGTTATCAAAAGTATACAAAATAATGAAATATAATTTCAAAAGCTTAAAAACATTTATACAAATTATTGTTAAAATGTGTGTAGTGCCAGAGATCTCTGTACTGATAAGGGGAGATCACTGCGTAGAAGATTGAATGTTTAGGGGCCAGGGGACATATTCGAATGATTGTCAGACATGATGTTTTGAAGGTACTGGAAACTTTTGATATTTCTCTGTCCTTGTAGTTTTTTCTAGTTTGTATGTAGGAAATGAGCAGTATGTTTGGGTCTTTACCCGAACCTAAGCATTTGGTTAGCTTTGGATTTATTTTTTACTCTTCGAACGGAGGTTAAAAATCAAGCTCTGACAGTTGGCGCCAAACAAGTACGAAACTTTATATATATTTAGAGAAAAATCTAAAAGTATGATCGACAGTTTGTTGGACACTTTTGAAGATGCCGTTTATTGCACTGTTTGTAAGTGATATTTTTTAAGGAATCGGGCGGATTCTGGAGTATCCTGCACCTCCATGTAGATGGCTCATACTAGCAAATTTCAGGTGTGGGTGGGGGTAAATATAAATTGCTGTAAGTCATTATTTTTAGGAGCAATGCATGCAATTTATTATTTTCTTCAATGTATGTCATATACCATTACAAATGCTGTGCAACTGGTTATCTGCATGTGAAACAGATTATGAAATATTTGGAATCGTGTTTCATTTTTAGGTCCTCTGTCCCTTTAAATGATAATACCAGTACACACCCAAGGAAGTGTTAACTAGGGACCACGCGATTGTTTAGTTAGGTTGGTCCCTAACCGGTCAACTAATAGGTTTATAGACAGAAAATGATTATCTACTGTCGAGGTTTATAAAGGGAGTTCACATAATGGTATTTGTATTTATATTGACAATTACTTGATTTTGAAGAAATAACGGATTTTGAAGTAGAACAGTAACAAATAAGGATTCAGTGCAATATTGAGCTGTATCAAGTAATGATTTTTTTGAAATATAATTAAATCAAAACATTCTATAAGCACTGTTTAATGTCATTCGGTGATAAAATAATTTTGATATTATGTCATGTGGTCTTTAATTTCAAGAATGTTGTAAGAACATAAGTGGATTTTCTATTTCAATTAATCAAATTCTTTGATTCCAAGTAGACAAGGAATGGACATAATTCAAAAACTGACTGAAAGTAACTCATATTATTTTTATTAAGCTACAAACATTTGAATATAACTTACTATATTTATGTTATGTTAGTTAATACTGGATTTGGGATTATAAAATCTATTTATACGCTTGAATTTTTATATAACATTTCATATGGTTAAAAGTTCTCATTTAACTGCAAATATATTTCCATCCTTGTTTTGAACAAAAAGTGGCCAGCAAAGGTTACCGTTTACTGGATGTTTATGCAATATTTTAACCTCGATCACATATTCACGGATAACGCCACGGAAGAGCTACGGTCTAATCGTTCATGGATCACTACGGAAATGTGAAATTCCGTAGTCCGCTACGGTTCTAGTACGGAAACATAACGGTATAAGTACGGTGGATTTACCGCCAAAATATAGGTAAAAGCCCCGGGAGAGAGACACGGATTTTTGCGGACAGACACGGTTTGATACGGAGCGACACGAATCAGGACGGACGCACTACGGATACACTACGGTCTGCAACGGTATAAGCACAGGTTAGTACGAATAAGTACGGTCTAATACAGAGAAGAACGAATTGCCACGGATCTATACGGACCTATTATATCCGTCCAACCTCTTGCATGCTCATGTTCAAAATGCCTTACAAGTAAATAACATCTGGAAAACGAATTGCAGAGTTCAATGATTCTGGCGGAGAGGATTCGGCCTCATCGCGTCAGACCCCAGTGACATATCAGGTCCGATTCTAGTGAATTTCTTGTAGGACGCAGCATTCTCACCTACAAGTTCGGCCATGAGAGCCTCACACAGCCTAGTGTTGTTATTTACTATCTTTTTCTTTTTAGCCCTGTAATTGTACATATAAACTAGTAAACTTAACACTAGTATACGTGAACCCGTGCCCCATATGGAGCAATACGTTTATCACGGGTTCACTCAAGCATGAGATTTACTTAAATAAGTTACAAAAAGACTATATCATTACATTATGGGTAACCAAATTATTATTATTAGCCATATTTGGGACTTAGTATTTTTTTCGTATACTTCTATGAATTGTTTAAGTAATAGAAGATTAATTATTATGTGTGATATCTAAATGCATAATAATGTATATACCATGAGACAGTGATTAATAGATAAGGCCTTTTCCACCACGTTTTAACTATGATATTTGTTTTATTTTAGAATCAAAGATGGTAAAAACTCGTATACATTGGAATGCAACGGGCACCTGCTAAATTTCTATCCGGTCCGCGCGACAAACTTGTCAAAATAGGTCAACTCAAAACTTGCAGAAATTTTAACAAAATCGGATTGACCTCCATATTTTTGTAAGCAACGAATTTTAGACCAATGAGGACAAAGGAGGCAATCATCTTTAAACAAATCAAAATTACTCTTATAAAGCGGGTGTTCGGTAGAACTTACAAAATTTACAAAATTTATAACAAATTCTGCTAATTACAAACATGTAATTAAACATATGCATCCCAATGTATTCGGTTTATAAGATTTAATATAGAAATCAATATAAATCACAGTGAGCCCACATTGAATTAGTCGGAAAACGTTCCTGACATGCCTTCTTCGCATGTAAGTATGCGAGTTCTGTAATTCTTATATGTAAATATTGAAATTTTCTCCTTATTAAATTGACCTGTTATAAAAGACGGTAACTTCTATAAACGTCTTGGCCATTTTTAAAATAAGTGCATTTTAATAATTAAATTTTAGAATTTTTAAACTAAGTATGGGATTGCCCAATCTTCCTCCCATGGCAGACGTTGTACGTAGAGACTACCCTGTCATGGGGGATATGGTATACACATAACACATGTACGGATATAACAATAAGTAAAGAAACATCAGCTCCCCTATTATTAGGTTATAAATGAAGTATTTGCTCGTCCATATGGTCTCTTTCCGGTGGCGAGGGTAAACAAACGCAAACACACACACACTCGCACAGCCTCCGCATTTTGGGCCATATCAATGTACAGTTGCAGCCAGTACATAGCATTTATCTTTTATTGAATGACATGAAAACGCAAATATGTCTGGTTTTTTTACAAGAAGGTAGTATTTATACCCTTGAAAAAGTACATGATACTTAATTTATCCGTACTAAACAGTGGTGGACCGTACCATTCCGTACCGTTTCGTGTTGCAACGCAATAAACCGTATAAGAACTCTCCGAAGTACAACGTATTACGATCGTGGCTTTCCGTATTAATCCGTATTAAAACCGTAGGATAACCGTACAAATACATAGTTCTCCGTATCAAACCGTGGAAGGTCTCAACCCGGTACGGAATTAGACCGAACCCATTGTAGTCTAAAAAGTAGTTCTTTAAAATATTGAAATGGCCCAATTTAAGTCATCTCTAGTTAGATTGGTCATAATTAAAGTGTATTTTTTGCATGTGTGTAGTTTTTGTGTGTTATATGATGACTTTAAAAGTTGTTTTTTTGTGTATTCTCCAGGAACTCATTTGTTGGTGGAAGGATTAAAGATGTACTACCCACCAGCTGTCAGGAGTTTTTAAAGTGGTGAATTTAAACAGTGTTACAACAGAATGAAGATTTCTGAAAAAAGTAGATGGCTAACCTATTATATTTTGGGCCTCATTGGACTTAGATAGTGTTAATGTTTAAAGTTGAAGACAGTATATAATTCATCAAGAACAGTGGAATCCAGAATTAAGCCTCAAATTTGACTGATTTACTATAGAACAAATAGTACGAAAATTCACCGGGCCGAGGCCGGAAATCCTTGACAAGTTGGGACCTACGAATCATTACGGACTAGTACGATTTTCGTACGGACCAGTACGTATCAGTACGGTTTAATACGTATCAGTACAGTTTAATACGGACAAGAAGGGATACGCTACGGTTCATTTTTTCGAAGCAAATTTTTGTGCATGTTCAAAAATTGTCATGGATCGCTACGGATATACAAGGACTACTACGATTGATTACGGTTACAATATGGAGAGCAACTGCCTAGTACGGGTAGCTACGGACGATGCCGGAATTAAACCATGGCTCTTCCGTGGTTGTATTCCGTGAATTTGTGACCGGGGTATAATAATTTTTACACTATTTACTTTGCAGGCTGTACATAGAATTGATCGCAACGGTATTTTTGCTTCTGTAATATTTTTGTGAAACGTCATTCAAGACATTGGGTACTTACATACTACATATTCTACCAAGTATTTTCACGGGTATTAAACGGGTTCTTGGTGCTATGGAAACTGCGGTTTAAAGGCAATGTCTTCCAAAATTACAGTATTCCTTAACAGTCGTACAATATAACCCCCATAATTCAAGTTTTTGAAGAATACTCAACTTTACAAGTTGACAGTTTAAGAATCTTTATAACCTGTTGTTAGTTTGGGTGTTTAAAAGTGGTACATAATGTTTGTATAGGCATCACACACTCTAATTGTACAAAATAAGAGCACGCCTTTCCCATTTAAACTTCCGTATTCAGTATTTAGATTGAAGGTGGTAATACTAGTGAACAAGTGAAAAAAATATGGATGTCTTAGTTTATTTTACTATAGTGACAATTGTTGCTATTTTAGGTAAGTACATTTAGCTGTTGTTCTGCAAACATGAATCTAATTATATACTTTATAATTTCTTATATAATTAAACCTCTGCTAAAACCTAACACCACTTACGATCCACGACAATAGTTATCGAGCTTGAAACTGTTGTTCTCAGTTTTAATCATTATTTGAAAAATACTTAAAAAAATAAAGAAATAAAATAAATCATCTTCCAATGATTCTGCTTTAAATTACATACGGTCGTAAAATTTAAATAATTTACTGATACAAATGTTCAATAAGATATATAGATACTTTGTGACAGCGGTATTTACTATTTAAACATAAAGATTTCCCCCCGTTACGGCTTTAGGAATTTAAAGTAAAATGGAAATGAATTAAAATCTACGTGAAAGGAAGTTTGAAATCAATGCATTATTCTATAAATAGAATTGAAAAGTCACGAATACTTTGTGTTAAATTGAAAACAGTTTGAGAGATGTTTATTTAAGTCACGGTCAAATTTACAGATATATCTTTAATAAATTGTAACGAAAAGAAAAAAAGATACAGCACAGATAAGGCGTTATATATATATGGTGGCATATTTCTGCCACCAGATAACCTGATACCTAACTAGTTAATTAAGAGGTTAACTAGTTACGTAACTAGTTAACATGATAACTAACTAGTTAGTTAAGAGGTTAACTAGTTACGTAACTAGTTAACCTGATAACTAACTAGTTAATTAAGAGGTTAACTAGTTACGTAACTAGTTAACCTGATAACTAACTAGTTAATTAAGAGGTTAACTAGTTACGTAACTAGTTAACCTGATAACTAACTAGTTAATTAAGAGGTTAACTAGTTAGTTATATGGTTATCTGGTGGCAGAAATATGCCACCATATATATATAATGTATATATAAAATTATAGAGAAACTTACTTATCAATTTTACAGTGGAGGATATCATGATATTCATCTTTTGTCCGTGCACTAAATGTTGTGGTTCAGCAACTTTTATTATACCCCCGCACAACGAATTTGTAAGGGAAGTATACTGGAATTAGCTTGTCCGTCCGGCCGTCCGGCTGTCCGCCCTCACAGGACAGTAATTTTGTGGCTAGAGGGACAATAGGTAACTGTTCTTTCTCTTTGATGTCATTCATTCCGTACTGCTTTTATGTGGCTACAAAAGAGAGTACAATAGAGTATCCACATTATTACTCTCCTGTTAGAACGGCCGTCTGTCCGGCCGGCCGGACGTCTCCCCGTCCGTCGGTTTTTCCTTGTTCGCCCAATAACTTAAGGATTCCTCTGACACACAGTCTTCATATTTGGTATTTAGATTGGTCATGATTAGTAGATGACCCCTATTGATTTTGAGGTCACCAGGTCAAAGGTCAAAGTCACAGGGGCCTTGACTAATAAAAGCTTGTCCGCCCAATAACTTAAGATTCCTGTGACCCATAGTCTTCATATTTGGCATGGAGGTTAGTCATGATTATTAAATGATCCCTATTGATTTTGAGGTCACTGGATCAAAGGTCATAGGGGCCTTGACTTAAAAAGCTTGTCTGCCCAATTACATAAGATTCCTTTCATCCACAGTTTTCATATTTGGCATGGAGTTTAGAAATGATTTGTAAATGATCTCTATTGACTTTGAGGTCACTGGGTCAAAGGTCAAGGTCACAGGGGCCTTGATTAGTAAATGCTTGTCCGCTGAGTAACTTAAGATATCTTGACACACAGTCTTCATATTTGGCATGGAGGTTGATCATTACCATAAGCTGACCCCTATTGATTTTGAGGTCACTGGGTAAAAGGTCCAGGTCACAGGGACTTTGACTTCAAAAGGTTTGTCCGCCTAATAGCCTTAAGAAACTTTTAACCCACAGTCTTCATATTTGGCATGGAGGTTGATCATAACCATTAGGTGACCCCTATTGATTTTGAGGTCACTGGATCAAAGGTCAAGGTCACAGGGGCCTTGACTAAAAAAAACTTTTCCGCTCAATTGCTTAAGAATGCTTTGGTCAACAGTCTTCATATTTGGTATTGAGGTTGTTTATGACTAGTAGATGACCACTTATGATTTTGAGGTCACTGGGTCAATTGTCAAGGTCATAGGGACTTTGACTTCAAAAAGTTTGTCCGCCCAATAACTTAAGAAACCTTTGACCCGCAGTCTTCATATTTGGCACGGAGGTTGATCATGACCATTAGGTGACTTCTATTGATATTGAGGTCACTGGGTCAAATGTCTAGGTCACAGGGGCCTTGACTAAAAAAGCCTTTCCGCTCAATTGCTCAAGCATGCTTTTGGTCAACAGTCTTCATATTCGGTATTGAGGTTGTTTGTGACTAGTAGATGACCCCTATTGATTTAACGTGACTATGTCAAAGGTCTAAGTCACAGGGATTTTTACTATAACGAGCTTGTCAAATGCTTAAGAATGCATGTCCGCTGTGTATTGATTTTGACATTTTCACATTTGAAGCATGTAGAATACATAACTTAGCAATGCACTGGCTTAGTTACCTCATATTTGGCAGGGAGGTTGTCCTTGAGATCTAAATGGCCACTGTTGATTCTGACAAAGTAGTATGCGGGGGGTATTCATGCCATGAGAGGGACTGTTCCAGTTTCTTTTAAATGGTTTCACTTATTTTATTGAAATAATTTTGCAAGCCCACAAGCAAGCGCCTGCAAACAAGTACAAGGGTAACACTATACGCCCCCCCCCCTCATGTTTTGGCTGGGGAGGGGGGGGGGCATAAAAATGTACCAGTCACATAATTTCTGTCCACAACCCTTTAAAACTTTAATTTTTTTCCATTTTATGCTTTCCTGAAGTAAATGTGCTTATGTAAATTTTTCCAGTAAATCTATATAATATAATTATCTTTCATCGCAAAGAATAAATATTTGCTCAATTTGATTCAAAGTTTATTCAAAAGAATTGTGTTTCTAGTATGCTTTTAGTAAAGGTTATACTTCCGATAATGGCGGCATAGAGGTTTTGCAGAGCAGAGAAAGTCTATTTTTGTCTCATTTCATTTTTTATTGTTTTAAGGCAAAATGATGATATGATATGATATTGTACTGATATGAAAATAATGATGTACTGATGATATGATGATGTTATATATTATGATGATGATAATATTGTTGTTGATAATGATGGTGACGATGATAAAAATATGTAGATTTATTTATTACTTTATATTTGAAAGCTATTTAACAAGTTGTGATATAAACTGATCTGTAAATCTCATTAAATGTTTATGTTGATGGAATCTCCGAAATCTTTTTTCTTCAGATAATGGTAAAACAGCGAAAGTGAATAGTTGTGACTCGACCCCTGCGAGCAGTAAGTATACACGAAATGTTTTTAACTGCTTTTCAAAAAAGGAGCGTATGCAACAACGGCCGTTTAAGCCACTTGCTCTTCGCCACTGTAGGCACGAATCCCGCTAGAAACTTTTAATTACGTTAAGTAAAAAAGCGGTCCAGCTTGTTTACGAACGTCGGTGATTCTAATAAGAATTAAGGGCCACATGAGGTCTTCAACATTCAAGCTAGAAAGTCGCTATATTACATTCACACTGTCCATATGAAATCCCTCTCCAACGACCCCCGACCTTCAACAGAAAAATGAAGTTTGAATGTAATAGGTCCAGTTGAACTAAAGAGAAATGATTTTAACGTATGAAATGAATGACCCACTCCTCACTTCTTTTGCCGTAACAAATAATCCTATAATCTTAAATGTGAAGTTTAAGGTAATAAACGGAAAACAAAAATGAAGTTAAAGGGAATTGTGAGGTTGCACTTTGATCTCATAACGCCGAAAATATTAATTGTTTATTATTGCAGAAAGTCGCTTTATTTATCATACTAAGATTCTGAAGCTACAGTGGCATATCAGAATTGATTTGATTGTTGCGCAGTCAAAGTATTTACTCGAAGGATGAAACAAAAAAAAACCTCACGATATAAAGATTTCATTTACTGAATTAATCAGATTGATGTGCGTTTAGTCGTATTGTTGCACATAAGTAATACGTTACCTTTTGTTAAGAAAATAATTTGCAAATGCATAAGTTTTTGCATCATTACGCCCAATAATTTCCAAACTCCTTGCACAGGTTACGTCACGCTCTGCTACATGTACCCCTCTATAATCAGTTAAAAAATTAAGAGTGTACTCGGCTCTCTTAAATCTTTTTTGCATGAGGTTGTTGTAAATCATACAAAAGAAAAATCAAAGTGCTGCAGCACTGAATGCGACGGACATGCAACCGGAGAGACACCAAGGCTTCTTTTAGAAAAACAAAACAAAATAAAAACAAAACACAAAATATATAACAGAGAAAATTTGTTCCATACAAGTTCGAGATTTGTAGAGCAATATATTTTGTGTCCCAAATTGTTATAATTCAGATTTTCTACTTTCAAGCACTTAAATACAGAATGAAATTTATGCCTAAAAACTCTGGTCAAACTTGTAAATCAGTGTCCTTATCGATTTATTCTAAGAAATGATATGTAAATAGAAAAAAAAACTATCAACGAAATATTTCTAGAATAAATCCAGGCAAATAAACTTCAAACATAATACATTGTACATTTGAGAATGCTATTTAGAATTGCTTCGTGTTATATCATAGTGGGCATACAGACAATAAAATATAAGTCATTTGTATTTTTATTTCTCTTGGGATATGTCTCATTAAAAAAAAATTGGTTAAAATCATCAGCAATTAATAGTGTATTTCTTAGATTTTTTTATTTACAAGGTAAAGATGTAGAGGCCAGAGCACATCGTTTTTATTTTAATTTAAATGTCACTTAAGCACTACAGTGTTTAGTTGTCCTTTTCAACTTCACACTAAATTCCATTTTCAACTTGTTTGCTTCTTACAATTGTATAGCATTTCTAAAACTATTGCATTACAATCCGCTGGTTGTACTTCCTAATCGCCTGTCCAAAAATCAGAACAGGTAAAGCAGAATCTATTTTTAGAATATCGAAGGTTAACTCATATCATGACCTAGTAAAATATGTAAACAAACCACAAGAATCGGAAGTAGAACTGATATTATAACTTCCTTACCATGATTTCAAGACTACATGGCGGTAAAGTGTCTTACATGCATTTTCAAAAATAGATATTTATACTAGCCATTGAACTGTATGTAATATATTAATAACTGCTGAATATTCAGCTAACCCGCGGTATGAGTCACGAAAATAGTTCTTCTTTTATTAATGCGCGAGTTATCCTAGAGTCACGAAAAACTTTTGATTTGTTAATAATAATGTTTTGTATAATGTAGAAATATTTATTTCCTACTAATAATGTCTTGGAACTCAGAGGTTACACTTTATTGTAGTATAATTTGCTGTCCTACTTTTTCGACAGCGGTAAATCGTTTCAGCAGTAATTTGCATATTGCGCAATAATACTACGGGACTACAACGTTTTTATCAATAATATACGTTCATATTTTAACTTGGATAACTTAATTTGAAATTGAAAAGGCTAAACATGGAAGACATTAAGATATCCAGACAAAGTATGGGAGTTTTGAAGGATCAAATTCATGTACTATTTCTTGGGCTGTTAATTGGTTTAGGACACATTGCGCGAGTGTAGCCAACGAAATCCCATGTGTAGATGACTTAGCTCTGAACGCGCCTGAGGGCGCGTCCGTCGCAAAAAGATGACTGTTTTTGTTTTGTTTTGTTCGATAGGAGTCCATATCAAATCCAAATCACGCTCTATCTAGCCTAGTTTTCATTGTTTTTTACAGTCCAAAAGATTCATAACAAATCAATTTTGCACCCGGAGTAACTGAATTTAATTTGTTAAATTCAATGTGTGTTCTCTTAAAAAATATGAAGTGTGAAATAAAGAGTTCATTATACACTGTTAAGAACTGTGCTGATTCTATCGGGCTTGGCAAGGGCCTTGCTAAATATAGGTTTAATAGCTATGTACTCATCTAATAGAATTATTTGAAATCATATTTGATTCATAAAGGAAATTTTAGACGGTCTGAAACGGATGCTACTTTATACTGAACCCACAAAACAAGCATACATTTTTCAAGTTTGATGATTGTTTTCTTTTGGAACATTCTAAACTTTGGTGTACTTGATATTTTAAACATGTTCCAGAGTGATAATTTTAACTCAGACAGATCATTTACCATGTACGTATTTAATGGCATGAAAACAAACAAATAAGAAGCTATTTAATCAGCAAATACGTATCTATTTCAGTGTGAAAGTTTGTTGGCCAGTGACTTAAGATGCCTTAAATAATTTTTAATCTTGTAATCAAACTACAAAACTGTTCATAGTACATTCATAACCTGATTTAAGTTATTTTTTGAATAAAGCCTTATAAAGATTATAATATGATATTGTTTATGATTTCTGCTAAAATAATAAATACTACGGTGTAAATAAAATGATTAGAAATGATTTTTATCGAGCGTAATTGCGTATTAATACTTACAGATGGAAAGTGCAATCTTACGGTAACAAACGGGCAACCTTGTTATTTTGGAAACCCAAAACAATTTGCAAGTATTTCTTGTAATTCATCGTATACATTTGATGCACAGACGACATTCACTTGCACGGGAACTGGAAATACCGGTAACTGGACACCAGCAGCATCAGCAGTGTGTTCATCGGGTAAATTATTTTGTTATATACTTATATTAAAAATAATATTATTGATAAATAAAATTTTGCTGAAATAAAATGCATTTTCCGTATTTACACGTTTTATTTCAATACAGTGAAACACATTTTTCCATGTGTTTACAGGTGTCTTGCCGAACTATATTTTCTTAAGAGTCATCAGTCACTGTTCAGACAATACTGATAAAAATTATGATGAAAGTATGTCTAATCATAAGGTAAATAAACAAAAACATAAAAAGTATACAATAATAAAAAATGTGTCTGCAAAAAGCGATTTTTCCTCATGGATACCACCACTCGTGAAATTATGCGTTTAAAAAATCAAGACAACACATTTTTTTTGGTTTCTATTTTAATACATCTTCATCAGAAATGAAAATCATCTACATACATAAAATAACATCTGTTCAGGCTGTAAGGTCAACGTGACATAATAATAATAAAAATAATAATAATAATAATAATTATTAGTATTATTATAATAATTATAGCAATAATAATAATAATAATAATTATAAAAAATGATAATAATTATATATCTTTATTTAAAGAAAGTTTCACATTAAGAACATACAATATCAATCATATATAATCTTATATCCAATGTGGCCTTCTGTAATAGAAACCACCACCACCAACAACAACAACAGGACATGCATAGGTAGAAATATGAATATAGAATATGTAAATTTTAGAATAAGACAACTCATATACTTTCAACAGAGACTCAACAATTTGTTTAAACATATATCGTTCGTTCGTTCATTCATTCATTCATTCATTCATTCATTCATTCATTCATTCATTCATTCATTCATTCATTCATTCATTCATTCACATTCATTCATTCATTCATTCATTCATTCATTCATTCATTCATTCATTCATTCATATGAACATCAAGATATGTTTTGTATTTTTCTTTAAAACATTTAAGGTTATTAACATTACATATATTTAAAGGTATATTGTTCCAAATGTTCATGCCATAATAATAAAATGTGTCTTTAATATAATTTGTTTTAGGTCTTGTCCATAATACACATATACATATATCAATTACGAAGATTATCTGGAAAATGTTTAAACAGAATAAAACAAGTAAATCTGGGGAAAATATATCTAATCAAGAATTTAATGACTACTTTAAAAATCTTATGGGCGGGGATGTTCAGTGTGATGATGAAGGATTTGTACGGAATTTGAGGGATTTTGATACCGATTTAAATCGACAAGGTAATGATGAGTTGTTGGACTTGCCAATATCTGATGACGAAATTTTAAAAGCAATAAACAAGTTAGGGTCAAATAAATCACCTTCAATTGATAATATTTTATATGAGTATTTTAAGGTAGCTGCCCCTCTTTTAGTTAATCCTCAATTTATTTTTTAATCAAATTTTAAATTCTGGCAAGTTCCCTCATGCTTGGTCTACTGGAATAATTATACCTATATATAAAAAAGGGAACCAGTCTGATCCAAATAACTATAGGGGCATCGCTATAACCAGTTGTTTTGCAAAATTATTTACTGTTTTACTAAATGAAAGATTAAAAACATGGGTAGAAGTGAACAACGTTTTAACTGATGCCCAATTTGACTTTAGGAATAAATATAGTAATGTAGATCCTGTTTTTATTTTAAACGCATTAATTTAAAAGCAACTTCTGAACAAAAATAATCTGTACTGTTGTTTTGTAGATTATAAAAAAGCTTATGGCTCTATCGAGAGAAGTAGGCTATGGTATAAATTTATAAAACTAGGAATAAATGGCAAATTTCTGTCTGTATTAAGATCAATGTACAGCGAAGTGAAACTTTGTGTAAAACATTTAGGGAGCCTATCTGACTTTTTCAATAGTAATTTAGGTTTGTTCCAAGGAGAAATAACGTCGCCGATTTGCTTCTCTTTATTTATAAATAATATAGAAATGCAATTACAGGAAAATATTGACGCTGGAATAAATATTGATCAAATTGCAAAATACTTGCTCCTATTCGCTGATGACGCGGTAATCGTCTCTGAAACAAGTACAGGGTTACAGAAATCACTAGATAGTTTATATTCTTATTGTTGTAAATGGAACCTTACAGTTAACATAGAAAAAACTAAAGTTGTAGTGTTTAGGAAAGGGGGGAAGTTAAGAAGAAACGACAAATGGTATTATAATAATCATGAAATTGTAATAGTCAAGTCTTTTAATTACCTAGGGGTTGTATTCTCCAGTGGAGGGTCTTTTATGCAAGACATTAGCCGGGAAAGGGTTGCGATCTCTACATTCTTTGTGGGCTATTGTTCGTAGTATGAAAGTGCCAATAAATATATTGTTTAATCTTTTTGATTCGTTTGTACTTTCTGTTTTAAATTATGGCGCAGAGGTGTGGGGTTATATAAATTCAGAGGTTATAGAAAGAGTACATAAGAAATATTGTAAATGGATACTAAATGTTAAGCAATCTACACATACTCTAGCCCTCTATAGTGAGTTAGGTAGATTTCCACTCTATATAGAAAAACATGTTAAAATGGTTAAATTTTTTCTGATGATTAACACCGTGAAGTCTGAAAATTGTATACTTAAGGCAGTTTTACAAGATCAAATCAAATGTCTAGAGCTAAACGAATATCCTTCAGTCTTCTGGTCCGTTAAAATAAATGTATTTGTTCCAGTCTTACGTTGTAGGCTTAGAGATATATACATAAGTAATTGGAGAAAGGGGTTGCAGATGTCAAGTTCCTTAAATATTTTCCGGGAGATAAAAGATACGTTTGAGCAGTCAAATTATATCAGACTATTAGAAAATACAAAGTTTAGAAACGCACTGGCTAAATTACGTCTCTCTTCACATAAACTTAACATTGAAGTCGGCCGACACTATAATATTCCGCGCGATGAACGAAAACGTACACTATGTAATTTAAACGACCTAGAGGACGAATTTCACTTTGTTTTAAAATGTACAGCTTATGTTGATTTAGGAAGGCTCTATATAGCCAGATATTATTATACCCACACAAATATAATTAAGTATATATCATTAATGCAAAGTAGTAATAAGAAGATCTTAAAAAATTTGGCTCTATATTGTTTTAAAGCTTTCAAATTAAGGGATTCACTATTGTAATAATATAAATGTCGTTCTTAATCTGAAATCATTCTTTTTTTTTTGTTAATTTCTTTATTCCATGTAACTTTTGAGTATATATAAATATATTTCTTCCTTTGTTACATTCTCACTATATATGTGTTAAGGAAATAATAATTCATGTATTATATGTAAAATCTTCCATGTCATACCAATATATATAATAAATTATATGTTCTTTTTTCATTGTTATCGACGATGGGCTTGTAATGCTTAAGTCAAATAAAATATTTGTTCTGTTCTCTTCCATATAAATGACGCTTTAATGCAAAAATATTAACAATAAATGAATAAAATACTCCCATTAACGTAATTTTTAACTTTTGAAAAATAAGTATTGTTAAAAGGAAATTGACTCAAAATTAAAAATATATAATACAACATAAATGTAAAATGATTGTGACCGTCTGATTAGTTTAATAGATAAAGCGTTGAACAGTGAATCAGGCGACAAGTGTTCGATTCCAAGAGAGTGCAGGTCACTGTCCTTTAAAAAGAGTTTAACGAAGGTAGACTAAGGCGGCTACTTTAGGTAGCTGATTGCGACCATTATAATCCGCGATATATTGTAAGGATGAATATTTTGTGAATAGTTAAGCCCGGGAAATGTCTCTGCGCAAATGAGACCATTTTATGACACCGTTTTGAAGAACAAAACGTCGAGCCTATAAATTTTCCCCTCGACACTTTGCGGATTTCTTTCTGTTCCTTAATTTTTATAGACAAATAAGGGTCACAATGTAGAAACAATCCATTGACGCTACCGGCCACTGGAATCAAAAGTTCCTTTCTGTTTCGAACAAATGTTATATAAAATATCGATGGTTATAAGTTTCCCCCGACATTTTGTACGATTTTGGCAGAAAATCTCGCGGATTTATCACTTGTCCGTGATATTTTATAATAAAACGTTACAATTTTTCATGAGTTTGAAATGGTCGAAACTGGCTTCCATAAATCTTATTGTTACAATATCAATAGGAAAAAGACGAAAATTATAATTCTAACACTATCGGATTTTTTGTCGAATTTTGTTGTGAAAGCTATCTAGAATGAAAGATAATGGTCTAACTAAGAAAGTGAATCCGAACACCAATATCTTTAATTCAGTCGTTACCGCTGTACAGACGTTTAAAGTGTTGTTTACGTGACGTTACAATGTAGCGCCAAACAGCACGTGCAAAACAATCAAATCAAATACGCTATTTTAATGTCGCAAACGAGTTAAGTTTTACATTAACTTTACTTTTAATAATTTGTATTTCGCATGAAAAATTATAGAGTGAAATAAAATAAACAAACAAAGTTTTACCAACGTTTTAAAATTCGTTATTCTCAAAATGTTTCTACACACGGTAGATTTAACGACAGTTTTTTTTTCAACCCACTGGAACAGCCTTTAAAGAACGTTTCTATGGGAAACTCTCAGGCGAAAACAAATTTAACCATCAAACATAAAGTCCAACTTTATAATAATAATTACGTGTTAGAATGGAAATAGATATTAATTCTTCGTGCATTATTGTATAGTAATTCACGTTTTTCGTTCAAATGCTTTGTAATTAATCACTCAGGCCTATCGGCCTTCGTGATTATATTACTACGCATTTGAATTATTCTACAACAATGCACTTAAAATTGATATCTATTTCCTAAATAGAGTGTCCGCCACTTTTTAAATGAACAGTCACATTACTAGAATTTGTAGGATCGCTGTTTGTAAAACATATTGTTAATATCAAATGTTTACGTGTTACGGGTAATCGCAGTTGATTAAATAGTGCTATTGAAAAAAAAAACAGTTTTCGGCAGTTTTTGAACGAGTAGACTAATTAGTTTGACAAGTAATAGGGAATACATCTTCCCAAACATAGTTTATACATTCACTTATTAAAATAAGCCTATTCAGAAAGAATTGCCTTGATTTCAATAATTTCTGCAATTAAGGTATTTTACCAAAATATGAGCAAAGTATATCTTTAAATAATCAAATATAATTCGACATTTCCGCTTACAGCGACTAAATGGTATATATCACCTTTTTACATGATTAAGGACTTACAGTATAGAAGGTGGACACGCTGATATATACACATACATGCATGTATTAAAATGATTTTACAAACATACTTCTTGAAATGCGCTTAAGAAAAATAGATTAGTCGTCTTTTAATAAAAAATACATGTATGTGTATATGCCCCCACGAAACTTGGCTTGCAAAAAAAAAAAAGAAAAAAAATGCAACTGAAAGTTGTAAAACAGTCGTTCTGAAAGTTGAAAAATTCTTTTCCAAAAGTTATCTTCTTTGTTTTGTGTAGATTTGATATAACGTTCTGTCTCAAAAGAAAACAAAAATGTATTAAGTTATGAACTGGACGTGTTCTTTTGTGGTTGTACCTATTGCTCAAAACTGACAGATATTCATTCATATCTCTTTATAGGATCGACACCAACTCCAACAATGTCCTTCACTTCGAATAGTAGCTTGTCTTCTGTCATCAGTACAGGTATGTCATTTTCACATGTTTTTCTTCAAATCACATCTATTATATTTGAAATTTGAAAAAAAGTAAACGATACATATTTTTATAATTTAGAAAATGATAGTTTTTCAATTAAAGGGTAAACTGTTTGGATCGTTGAATGTCGTCGTCCGTCGCCTGTCGCCCAACAGCATTTAGTTCTTCAAACTCTAGTGGACACATTTTTGCCTCAATTGTTGGATGTTTGTCCTAGTAACTGCTCAAGCGCGTTCAAACAAAGGGATAAGATTTTCAGTCCAAATATCATGATGATTTCTAGCTCAGGCTCTTATACGGGTCATATCTTTTGTTTCTTGGAGGAATAATCCAAGTGAACGGTTATTTTTCCTCGCAATCTCTGACATTTACACGCAAATTTAAAACTGATGTGTTCTATCACCTTTCATGAATTTTGATTCTTAACAACTGTAACTCTTGTAATATTGGATATTCTCCGAAATCTTCGTACAGTTACTGTTTCATTGTTTGACTTTATTTAAGATTCTTTATTTGTTAAATTGTATTAACCCGAAGCAAGCTTAAGGTCCTCCATGTTTTAAGCATTCATTTCTTCCTTCTAAAGCGTGTAAATGTTCACAAACAACATCGCATGTTTGACAGATAGAACGCAGGGTGAAACTGTAAATAAGTGTAATTTATACATGGTGTTCAATTCACGTAACGTCGATTTTGATTCTTCTGCTAGTAACATATATCCCTGGCGATTTGGGCGATTTTTTGCTAGTGGGCGTGAGATATGTTGCACTTTTCACATAATCTCTTATTAACAGATTCAATCAACTGAGTTGATATTGTTGTTCTCATTAAATGATCTCCCCTTTTAAGGTTTTGTTATTTGGTATTAATAAATTAATTCATCTTAGTGCCAGTATAGATTATCTATATGGGGAAATGATAAGATGATGGTAAAGGTCAACTTGGGGTGATATTTTACTGCAACCTTAAAACCTATGTAACCCCCAAACCGTACGTACTAGTATTCTTATTTTGTTAACCCTTAACGTTTACTATGCCTTGGTAAACATTGCCTTTATCGGGTTTATAAATGTCTTTTATTGAGGTGTGTGATTGATTGCCTGTCCATCTGTACTTCTGTAATTTCAGTGTTCAATGTTACAGGGACACCTTCTTTGGAAACATATACAACGATGCCTAGAACCGGAATAAATACTCTCAGCACAGATTTCCAAACTGATCCATCTGCTATAACCCCGTTTACATCTTCTCCAAGACTTGCAGCAACAAGTTCAACTATAGTAGTTGCTTCATCAATATTAGGTACTCTTTTATATTTAGTAAACATTCCAATTCAAAGAAACTATATCAAATTCAGTTTTTTATATTCCCATCCATAGATTCAGAAGGTGGATTTAGTGGTACATGTCGGTCCGTCATTACAGCTTCGAAATGTCTATTTATCGGGTAAGGATTGACCGTTCTATTTCGGAGCTGATAGGTTTGATTGTAAGGAAACTTAAAATGGAAAAATATTGTAGTAATGCAAATGATGAATATGAAATGTAATTTAAATCCACGTATGGAATACAATGTGCTTGATACTAGTAATAGGCGTTTTCTTTAAAAAAAAAAAAAAAAAGATCGCATTTAAAACCTACATCTTTGATTATGTTAGGGTTCTTATACCTAATTTAATGGTTTACAGACCTATGGATAAGAATATGCTGCATGTTAAACGTCATTAAATCCTGCTTGTAAAGTTCAATTCTAACATGTTCCACACTATTTTAACAGACTGAACAATCACACACCAATACACATGATAAAGAAACGAATGTCTACACGTCATAAGATCCCATATGTGGCGTAAATAAAACAAATGACACATTTGAATTTCTTCTTAGCTAAATGTAGTTCACAACATTTTTTTCTATTAACATGTTAGAAAAGAAATTGAAATCAATTTTTCTTGGGTTTGTACAATAATGCGCAGGTTATAGTTAAAATGTTATCGATCATAGAATTGATATTACCCCGTATCTGAACTCAAACCGTGATGTATTCTACTCACTCAAAGTTGATATCTGCTATTACGTTTTGTGTCTATAATGTGAAAAATTATAGTATCAATACATAAATGATCTCCTGGCGACATCTTTATTATGCAGCTTCATATCTCTCAAATAATTGATAAAAACACAATATGTTGACACTGACACAATTTGTTATACATCTTAAATATAAATGGATAATTTAATTAAGTTACCCGACATCAGAATTGTTTGCTATCGCTTTGTTAAATAAGAAAATTTATAGTTTTTGCAAAGAATTCTCAATCTAAACACAAGGGTATAACAGTGCTAGGCACAAAAGGAATTTCAAAATATTTAACTTTGATTTTATTCAATATTTGTTGATATTAATCTCAATGTTTTGGATATATTTTGATTGTCTCCTTAAAAATATTTAATTGTAGTTACAGTAACCCCTGGCCCTGCAGCAGCACATAAAGTTAAAGAATCAGGTACAAGTATTAACATTTTTATTCAATTCTAGCATTAAAATAAATTGTCTTTAAAAGAAAAACTAGAACCAAGAGGGATGCCAGTAGTTTTAAATTATTTCAGAACGTACTTAAAGTCTAATGGAATATCTGTAATACCAATTAAAGATGCTTTTAGCAAACGTAAATTGTTAAGTAATGTTGAAATATCATGCTCAGGGAATGCAATCAAACGTTTAGGGTTTTTTTTTTTGTTTTTGTTTTTTAAATTTTTATAGTTATTCTCGAGTGATTAGTTTTCTGTTTACAATAGCCTAAGTAGTATTCTAGATTTCAAATCATTCTAGTTGTAGTAAAGGACGATCATTATCCATGTATATTGCTTTAAATTGCATGATCATATTATCAGTCATGGACAAACGAAATTTGAAATATTATACAGATATACATTTTGCTTTATATGAACTCCCTTAAACTGCAACGAAAGTACCTGTACATACGATTTATCTTAATAAAAGGAAATGTTGTTCCAAATATGATTTAATTGCCATTGTTATTAAGTTA